GAGACGAGTGGAAAAGAGAGGGAACGACAAACATGTGAGAAACACATCAACTGGATGCCTCCTGCACGAGCCCAGACCATGGCCCAGGTTGGGGAGGAGCCTGCAACCAAGGTACGTGTCCTTACCAGAATCGAACCCGGGAGCCTTTGTGTCAAAGGCCGACGCTCTATCCACTGAGCAAAACCAGCTAGAGCCATAATATATGCAATGAAAAACTTATTGACATATGGACAGAAGATAAGTTTTGGATCAATGGCTGTTGATTTGGCTTAACTTTATCACATAATAAAATTTGCTGATAGTTAAGGGACAGCAGAGGTGAGGCAGGCTAACAAAAAAAGTCACCAAGACAACAATATGCTTCAATTTTGAAGACTCAGTTTATTAACTGACCAGATTTACAAAAATAAGCATGGTAGATACCTGAAAGGGAAAAACAAAAACAAGAAACCATTAAAGAAGCCACCTCAATAGCTAGGAATTAACATAAAGCAGCAGGTTATGAAAGTACCAATTCAGTTTCCACTTTTACTTAAAAACAGATCTTCCCCCCTCCATAAATACCCTCAAAAGGAGTAACCAAACCAACTGTAACCCCAGTAAATATATTAGGACTCAAACCAAACCCGTATCAATATTTAGTGGGAGAAGTATTTGGGACTGCATCCCATTTACTCGAGTATTAAGTAAATCTCGAGTAGATGCTCACCTTAGTTCATCCTTCTAATAAGCCTATTGATCTGGTCTTCCCTGTTCCCAGCATCTCCACCTTCTACAAAATGGGCGGTCTTCTTCTTCATCCCACCGCGTGGAGAAGATAACTTGAAGGGCCACAGGAAGTTGTTCACTTCTTTGAAGCGCTTTCCAACAGTGTAGATCTCATGAATCAGATCTTCCATGCAGATGATGCCATATTTACCTGAACATTTTAAGGTTAAGATATTATTTTTTTAAAAGATCGCTAAATTTTAAGGCACTTGAACAAACACAACTATAGGCTATAATATATACTTAAAAGTCAATAAAAATGAAGAAAAAGAGAAAAATGCAGGCCACAAGATGCCAGAAAATACTAACTCTGTCTAATATCAACTTTTCCCCAAAGAGGCAGAACCTACCAAGAGATCGAGCAATCAGTGAGTTATCTGTCAGGGCAATTCGTTTTTTGTTGATTTTGCCATAACCACGCTTGTAGATCAATTCATTCACTGACTTCAGGTTTGGGTACCTGAAATAAGAAAGCAGACATAAATGACCAAAGAATAAGGTTACCGCTGTCAAAGCACCTAAAATTCATCTCGCCAACATAACCAACGTCCCCAGTAGAAGTCAAAGGAGAAGGCAGACTCACCCCCAAGCAATGTACGGCTCCACAATCCTCAGCATGTTAATGGAAGCCTTGTTGAGCTTAACGAAGGTGCCGTTGAAGATCTGGCGAAGGCGAAGAAGCTGCAGCACCTTCCGGACCTTTGGGCTCACACCATTGATACTGCAGTGAAAAAAGACCAACAATTTCACTTGGCTTTTTGTAAGAATTTTTATTAACGAAGGACAGAAAACCATTACAATTTTGGACAACACAAGTACACCCAAATAGATGGGAATCCTCTCCTGCTACATAGACCACTGGTGTTTTTCCTTATTCGGCTAAATTTTTCTATCACCTCTCCCAACTTGCCCCCTCCCCAAGTGAACGGGCTTTGGACACATACCTATGACATTTGAACATCCCCTGACCCTTCTGCCACTTCAGGTTTTGTACACATCTGCTATCACACTGAGGCTACACTTTAACTGTTGTTCATCTCCAGGACCCTGAACTCAAGTCCCCTGCTCAATTAGAGAATGGATAGGGACTTTGGGGTCCAGGTCTCACAGCCAAACCATTAAGATAACTCCCCCTTGCTCAAGCTACCCCCCAAAAATAATTTCATTCCAGAACCAATGTCCTGTTTTGCTGAGATTGTATACCTTTCCCCTTCAAAACCAGAGTGCAGTAAAGACAGACAAACACACACAAAACACACGAACTCACCCTCTGATCCTGATGACAAATGCCAACTTGGGCTCGGCGGGGACGTAGAAGTTGCCCGCTTTCCTTGCCATCCTGGCCATTCGGATCTCCGTTCTGTACATCTGCCTGTACTCCTTGTGGTAGTGCTTGGCCTTTTCGTAGATGAGCTTCCTTCTCGCCTTTCGAAGCTGGAAAAACAAGGATTATCCATCCGATCTCTCGCTCCCAAACACAGTGACCGAGACCAGTTCTTGAGAAGAAAACGAATCCTCTCTTGAAACGTTTTTCCTTTTCTTGCCAGTTTGCATTGACATTCCCCAAAGCAGACAAGGCACCGCCTTCATCTGAGATGTCACTTCGAGGAGCTGACCCGGCTCACGGGTAGGGCAGGTGAAGCGAACAAATCCTGCAAAGGGCACCCTGCTTGCTTGCCACCCCGAAGCCTCTTCTTACACGGCAAGGGTCTAAAAAAAAAACGTTGACTTACCATCTTTTGGGCAAACTTCTTCCTCAGGCGCTTGATCTTCAGCTCCGCGAAGTTCCTTCGCTTCTTCTTGAGGGTTTCTGGCACCGCAGGAACCTTCTTCTTCTTCTTCTCTCTGGATGGGCAAGCATTAACATTAACAGCTCCTGAAGCTCCCAGCTCCGCAGGCCGCCCCCTCGGACCGAGCACTGAACGCAACTACCGGCACCGGCTCTAACGTGTGCCTTCCGCTGCTCTCAGCTGCGACGGGAGACCAAGGTTTTAAGCAATTTCTACGCTAAGGAGGACCTTTAACACGGACATTCCCGTCTAATCCACGCCCGGTCCCAGCCTCGCACAACACAAATATCCCCAGCACAGCCAACAAAATGAGAGACTGCTGCCAGACACGGATCCCTGTGCTGTTAACGAGGGCTTAGGGGCTCCTCAACAAGTAACCCCGGAAAAAAAAAATCCCATCACCCTTGCTCAGGCCTCAAGCGCCACATGCTGAAAGCGAAGGACTGGCGGCAGGGACGCCTGGATCAAGTACCAGACAAGGACGGACCCAATTCAGAGGTTCTGTGCCTCCCTCACAAAACAGAGGGGTGGACAACCGGCCGACTCCGCACATTTTCAGCTCTCCCACTTCGCCTCGTTCCCCACAACTCCAAAACCTCCGCCCCAAGGCTGCCTGCATCCCCTGCGAGCCTGCGGCCTCCGCCACTGTCACAAGACGTCACAAACACACAGGTGAGTAGGCAAGGGCACAGGGCACAGTAGGGCCGGGGGAAAGTGGGACAAAAGGTCTCTGGTTTCGGGGATGGAAGAGGATTCTCGAGAAGAGGAAGAGCCACTTACTCTGCACCCTCCATGGTTCCAGCCGGAAAAGAGAAAGGGGGCGCATGCGCACTGTTCACTTAAAGACGCCACGCGAAGCCCCAGGACTCATAGGTGTCCCAGGATAAGCCAGAAAAGAACTCAGAACTGAGAATACGCCCTGCAAACGCAAAATTAAGACATTCCCGATTCAATCTCTTAGGATCAAGTTTAGGATAAAATTTGTATGGGGAAAAATGTGTATCGATTAAACTCTTTAATCAATATGAGAGCAAGGAGTGCTGACACCTTGACTAGTCCTTAGGGTGCGTTAACCCGGTGCGGATCGAATTCCACCCAGTAATGAATGCAAATGACACACCACCTGTGCGAACTACAAATCCCAGCATGCATCAGTCCTAGTGCCTGCCCGGCGGGAGGGCGACGTTGGGCCGGGACTGCAGGCAGCCACCGCGGTGGTGGTTCCAGTCAGGGAAAATGAGACTCTTTTGGCCACGATGTAAAGGGCTAGCTGAGATTCCAAGTCGCTCCCGAGAACCGGTTCTAAGCACCTTTTCGGCTCTCTGCCAACCCCAGTCACAGCTTCCAGCGCCCCAGTTGCCGCGCGGCCGAGGTCCTTCCGTTCCTCTGGCCTGAAGGGCTGTCTTCCGCAGCGCCTGATTGCAGGCGGAGCCGTCCAGAATGACCTGTTTAACCAAAGTGGCGAGAGGGGCACAGCGAAGATCGGACGCCCGGAGGAGGATGGCCGGGGCGCTGCCGACAGCCGGGCCTGGCAGGCGGAGGCCCGGACACCCCACGGCAGGGGGCGTGAGCC